GATAGATAGATAGATAGATAGATAGATAGATAGATAGATAGATAGATAGATAGATAGATAGAATATAGATAAACAGATACAGAGTAATAGATATTGTAGATAGACAGAAGATAGAGATAGAGTGATAGATAATAGATGATAGCTAGCAATAGCACTTAGATTTATATACCGCTTCACGGTGCTTTTACAGCCCTCTCTAAGCGGTTTACAGAGTCAGCCTCTTGCCCCCAACAATCTGGGTCCTCATTTTACCAACCTCAGAAGGATGGAAGGCTGAGTCCACCTTGAGCCGGTGAGATGCGAATACTGCATTCTAACCACTGTGCCGCCATGGTCATTAAGAGAATCGCATCTTCCCCTATTGTCAGAAGCCCACCTGGGAAGGTTGCAAATTCCTGCTCTAGTCCTCAACTTATGACAACTGCTTCTGTTGCCAAGTGGTCCAGCTGAGTGAGTCATGCTGGAGGCATGAAGTGAATCAAACGTTTGTTGTTAAACGAATTCCAGCTTCCCCCCAGCGGACTTTGCTTGTGAGGTTGCAAATAGTGACCGTGTAACACACAATCACTGTTATAAATACAAGCTGCTTGCCAGGTTCCTAAATTCTGATGACACGATCACAGGCGACGGGTCTTAAGCCACGTTTTCAGTGCCTTTGTAACTTTGAATGGCTGTTAAAACAAATGGTCATAAGCCAGGGACGAGCTGTGACTGGCTGCGTTCACAACTATTATCCTATTATATGACTCCCTTGGTTTTCAATCAATCAGAAGGGGCCTTCGAGGTCTTCTAGTCCAGCCCCCTGCTCAAGCGGGGCACCATATACCATTTCAGACAAATGGATGTCCAGTCTCTTAAAATCCCCCAGTGATGGAGCACCCAGATCTTTTGAAGGCAACTTCTGTTTCACTGGTTAATTGTCCTCACTGTTAAAAACTTTCTCCTTAATTCCAGGTCGCTTCTCTCCTTGGTTAGTTTCCATCAAGGGTTTTCCCTTTAAAGGTTTTTATTTTCTATTTTATCATTTTCATACACTCAACATATATACTGTGCATAGCCGGCGCCATACATTAAACAATAATCGCAGNTCTTTTACGTTGAAAACAAGTTCACTGCAGTAACTTCAAATCTGAATGGTTATTGCAGGATGTAAATCATTTCTGTTTTCATCCATAAAACAAAATTTATTTCCTTGTCCTTTACAAGGACCACACATTCACTTATTGCCTATTTATATACCGTTTCCTCTTTCCCTGTCAACTGCCTTTTCTTGTTCCTCTCTCTTCTAAGGTTTAGCTTCCTACCTTCTTATAATACAGGCCCAGCTAACTCTTTATTTGCAGCAAGCTGTGGTTTCACCACATACAGCAAATGATTGTTTGAGAGGAACCCTTCCAAAACAAGGCGCTGCAAATTCTAAACCACATTCCTGAATTTGGAGGCTTGCTCGAACAAACCGAACAAGCCTGTTTAAACACAACGTGATACTTCAAGCAATCTTAGAAACTGGAGGGAAGACTGAACATGCCTAAATACCAGGTGGTGTAAGCATAACCTGAACAACGTAACTGATACTATCACAAGCAATCTAGAGCAGGAAAAGATCTCATTTTCAGTCTCCAAAACTTTATTTTTAACTTCTTCGAATGCTATTGCTTGTTCTCTAACAAGTCAGAATTGGGAACCAAAACTGCTCAGCTCTAATTCGAGTTCAGAGGGTAAATAAAGAACTTTGGTCTGGACGTAGCATTGAGTAAAAAAATCACAGTGGTTTTCCCTGATGGGTTTAGACAAACATGAAGCTACCCTACAGCACTCAACAGGTAGGATGCTAATTTAAACTCTTATTAATTCATTCTCAATCATCCTTGGTTTTTCTGAATCCTGAGGAAGTCCTAACTTTGATATCAAAGGACTTCATTTTTTTCCTTTCCTGGCCGAACCTGAAAATACATCTTTCTTGAACAAATACAAATATGTATTGTAGACATAATTGGGGCCAATCAAAATAGGCATTTAATCTGGAAGATAGAACATGGAAGGAAGTGCATTTTTTAAATTTACTAGCTCAAAACCCAGTGTTGCCCAGGTATTTATAGACATCGAAGCGTTTGTCTGACAGGGAGCCATTGAGAGGGGGTCTTTCTTCCCCCTACTCCCATGCCCATCATCCCTGCTCTCTTCCTTCCCCCTCCTATGCGCTCCTCTTTCTTGCTCTGTCTAAGATCCTGGCCAAGCTCTCCCTTCTCCCTCCCACAACATCACTAACAATTGCCGCTCTCCTTAACAGGCCAGGCATTCCAGAGTTACGCTGGAACACACACAAACAGATACACACACCAGGGGTGTTTTACCACCACCACCCCAGTATTTGTTTTCAGAGGATAAGTCACCTGTGTACCAAGTTTGGTTGAAATTGCTCGAGGCGTTCCAGAGTTATGCTGGAACATGTACATATATACATACAGCCTTTTTTATAGTGATAAAAATGAAAGATAGAAGATAGATAGATAAAAGAAATAAAGCAAAACACTTTCAAGAATAAAGCTCATGTTTTTTGTTCTAACATCACATCGTACCCTGCTTCTTTCTTCCTTTACACGATACAAAATACACACCAAGGTAAGGCGTACACTGAGCTCATCCTACTGCACAAAATCTCACCCACCAAAATCAAAGAAAAGAACACCTGGCTGACAGCAATCATCTGCAATCAAGCATTCCTTTGATGTTTGTACTTTTTTTAAAAATAAAAACAGGAACATTTTGCAAAAGGGGCAATATCTAAAAGAGGGCGGGAGATGTTTTTGCAGTATTCTATCAGGTTGTTCAAAGCTATTCATGATCCAAAAAGCTGAGCTATTTTTTGGTCTCCCATTAAGAAGAACAAAGGCTGGAATCAGGAGAATGTTTTTTTCTGCTCCAAAGGAAAACACCCAAGGATGCATAGTTACAATGTAAGGCAGGGGCTGCCACAGATGCAAGGCTGGCAATCCTAAAGATGTGTGCTACCCCAGCCCTATCCTGAAATCGAAGCAAAGAGAGGAGAGAGAGAGAGAGGAGAGAGAGAGGAAAGAGAGAGGGGGGGAGAGAGAGGAGAGAGAGAGAGAGAGAGGAGAGAGAGAGAGGAGAGAGAGAGAGGAG